CTTTGTTGATTTCGAACAAACAGGTACCCATCTCTTATATTTCTGAAGCTGTTTACAAGATTTCTGTTGACTGGATCAACCAACATTCGTACGAGGCGCTTGGGTCCTTTGTGTTGTGGTCATTGGATAGCATTCTTGCCGACATGGCACACCCACAGACAGGGTCTAAGGGCTCAAAGAAAGGAGGGCAGCCAACATCTTCAAAGTCCCAGGTAGATGTCTATAATATATATATTGTTCCTTTCCCCAACTAAGCCCATGTTTGAGCATCATTATTTTTTTCGTCAAACTTATTTTCAACCACACATTCTCCTAATAAAATAATTATACACGTAAACCTAAAACTTTTTCCTACTTTTTAACCATGCATTCTCCAAATTATCACTTTTACAAAATCTATTTGTCCAACAAAATGGGGCTCAAACAAAGGCTAAATATCGCGTCTTTACTTTCAACATTCGATTACATCTTTAGCTTTACAATCAAGTTCAATGTTGATGGTGGATGCGTGTGTGGGCTTTTGTTTTAACGCATGTTTGGATTCTTTGAAATATTTCGAGGCAATGACATGAAAAATGTGAAAGGATTGGAATTCTGATTTCTTTTCTCTGAACGTTTTTCTGCTCCATCCCTTTTCTACGTTGCTGATAACATTTTGCCATGCGTTTTTCAGTTTATTGGAGAGCATAGCCCCATTGATTATTTTACTTTCAAAATGTGGGGAACGTTTGGGTATTGTACTTCAAATTGCTTGAATAAGTTAGCCATCTTTCTTGCCCGATTTCCCATTTCTATTCTTTCAAATCTTATAAATGCTATGGCTAATTTATGAACTTTTTGCCTCCCTGCATAAGCTTGTTGCACATATTTTTGTTTGTATATCAATCAAATCCCTATTTCTCTCTTATCTAGTGAATTTTGAGTAGTTTCTCCTCAATCTTTTCGCGAGCTATCTCCTCTTCCCCTGCCATTGCTGTGATATTTTTTTGTTAAAAACTGGATTAATGCTAGTAATTTTTCACTGTCTGACAGTTTTTCCATTTTCTAGATTGTGATTGTTGCAGTAATTTATTCACATCTTAATTGAATTCATGAGCAGAACTTTATGAGTACCCATGTACGCAGAAAGTATAGTTGGAAAAATTGTGAGATGTCTTGGTATGAGGATTGCTTTGGATTATTGATTTGGAAAATGTTCTTGGTGGTTTTTGAGACGCAAAGTTGTTCAAATGAATTTACATGGTATTCATCTTGGTGCTTTTATTTAGAATTGTAATCTGCAGCTAAATGGATGCTTGAGTATTATAAATCTGTAGGTACTACTAGAATGATAATATTTTATTACCTCCTTCACCCACACACAACACAGAACAAAAGTCAACAGCCATCCGTTACACGCTCTGGTTTTCTCTGTCTGGGGAAAATTCAAGTTGTGCACTGTTAACTCAAATACTGACAATACTTTTTTTTCTCTCTCTCACTCTCTGATCATAGATCACTGTATCCCATTAATTTATAATTAATTTTTGTCCATTGATCAATTTAAATATTTGTAAGTTGACTGATAATATATGGTACTTATTGTTCATTTGCAGGTTGCGATATTTTTAGTCTTAGCTATGGTGTTAAGGCGGAAACCCGATGTTCTAATCAATCTATGGCCAAGATTGAGGGAAAACTCAAAGTATCAAGGACAAGATAAGCTTCCGGTGATATTGTGGATGATAGTTCAGGTGATTGGTCAAAATAGGCATCCATTTATACATCTGTGGCACTCTTGGGTTTCTTTAGTTCTTGTGAATTTTGTAGTCAAAGTTGAAGTTGATCCTTTATGTGCAGGCCTGTCAAGGAGATCTTGCTGTAGGATTGTGCTTGTGGGCACATCATATTTTGCCTATACTTGGAGGCAAATCAGGGTCTAATCCTCAATCTAGGGATTTGGTTTTGCAGCTTGTTGAAAGGTTTGGTATATTTTCTTTTCTTTCTAACACAACACTTGTGCACTTTTATCTTTTTCATTTGTTCCATTAATTGACAAACTTACTCGTCATTGTATCAGAATTTTGTCTGCACCAAAAGCTCGTACTATATTAATAAATGGTGCTGTTAGAAAGGGAGAGCGCCTGATGCAACCTGCAGCACTTGACTTGCTGTTACATGTAACCTTTCCCGCATCTTCTGCGCGAGTCAAGGTAGGAGTTACTACTTGCTAGGGGCTTCTACAATATTGCTGAGCAGTGGTGGCTAGTATTCTCTCTGGTTCTATTCTCCTTTGTACCTATTTTTGCTCGAGTGTCTTCCTTATCTCTTGTGGTACATATTTCAGGCCACTGAAAGATTTGAGGCTATTTATCCAACTCTTAAAGAGGTTGCTCTTGCTGGTTCTCCTGGAAGCAAGGCAATGAAGCAAGTCTCCCAGCAAATACAGACTTTAGCTGTTAAAGCAGCTGGAGAAGGTTAGTTCAACATCAAAGTGACATTTTATCATCAATCCTCTGTTTGGTTTGGAAACAAATTAGATTTTTAGCAGATTTTGATAAAAGTTGGTGAAATGTATAGTTTAAAAATTGATAATAGTTGTGGGTTCCATGAAATGGATAGTTGAAAATGAGTTTGGAGGAAAATAAGTTTGGAGAAAAATGAGTTTTAAGAAATAGGGACCAAATATCATCTGAAAATATTTAGATAATAAGTCTATAGTTCATAGTAATTAGTGAGTTTGACAGATGGTGCTTTGCAGGGACCCCGGAGCTATCCCGTGAAGCAACTGGCATATTTCTTTGGTGTTTGACTCAGAATGCTGATTGCTACAAGCAGTGGGTAAGCTTATTTTCTACTCTACTCAACATTAATAATGGTGTGTTTGATTGTAAGGGTGAAAAATTGGTGGAAAGAAAATGAATTCCAGAAAAAGTAATTGCCTAGAAATTGTTTTGTAGGGAATTATTAATTAAGTGTATTTGAATGGTATAATTTTCCACCCGGAAATTTTTTAAATTTTGGATCTTTTTGTGTTCGTTTGACTTTGTTTTACATGGAAATTGTCTATTAAAGTGATATTTTTTTCACAATTGGTTATAAAATTTGTTTCCATTGCCAAAAAGCGAAAAAAAAAAATTTCCTAAAAAAATCATTTTTTTAATCAAATTTTAGTGTTCGTTTGCCTTTGTTTTACATGAAAATTGGCCATTGAAGTGAAATTTTTTTTACAACTAGTTATGAAATTTGTTTTCATTGCCAAAAAAATAAAAAAAGGGCAGCAGCACCTAGAAAAGCTTTTCATCAATTTTGAGGAAAATATGTGCGTGAGAGGGGTGGGGAGAAAAAGTTTTCTTGACAATTTTTACCCAATCAAACACACAAATTGAAGGGAAATGGAATTTGTTTTCCATTTTCCATGGAAAATGTACACAATCAAACAGGGCCTAATATTTAGATTCTGGAATGTCGTACTACAATAGTATGGTTGGACTGGAAACCGTAAGGCTGTCCATTGTGCAGCAATGTTGTGCACATTTTTTTGAAGGCTCAGTTTGTACTCTTTGCTTAAGAAGATGCTTAAAGGGTTTTGATCTTTGTACCCTGCTACTTTGATCAATGTGTATGCACTTTACCTTCTAAAATTTAATATCACCTTCCTCCTCTGGTGAGACTGTAGTCATATATAATCTGTGATGCTATAATTTTTGATTTGAACAGGACAAGATTTATATGGATAACATAGAGGCTAGTGTTGCTGTCTTGAGGAAGCTTGCTGAGGAATGGAAGGAGCTTTCAGGAAAACAGTCTTCTCTTGAAGCACTTCCGCCGGGCTGAATAGTGATGATTCTTCGGGCTGGAACCAATTGACACATTCTGAGAAGAACGCAAGAGAAACACAAAGACAAACGAGAAATATCTTTATTATTCAACAACTCAATGAAAATAACCCACAAGCCGGGTTAAATAGCCAGAAAATAATAATTATCGGAATTTTGCCAAAAATAGTAAAATCNGAACTTCATTTACAATTCTTGCATTTTATATGTACTTGTGAAGTATAAGCTTGGAATTCATTGAACTTGCTCATTTTAACGGTCGCTGTCAACAGAATGAGAAAGCATTAAATGGTGGGGTGGATGTTTCTCGCCAAGCTTTCTTCAAGGATGCAGATAAATACTGCAAGGCAGTATTAGGAAGGCTATCACGTGGTCATGGTTGTGTGAAAACTGTGGCCTTCACTATTGTATTGGCCGTGGGAGCTGCCGTGATGTCTCCAAGCATAAAGGAATGGGATTGGAACAAGTTTTCATTTATGTTCAATGTTCAGCAGATGTTCTGAGCAAATTTCAAGCAAAATCTGAGGTATCTGAGACATTGGTTTTTTTATCCTTCACATGGGAAAATTAATTATATTATAACAAAATAAATTGGTAGAAAATCTAGGTCATGAGTCACAATGGGATTACTCCCAAGTAGAATATAGTTGGAAGGTTTTCAACGTTTTAAAGAAGCAAGTTTAGTTCATTATCTGGAACTGATTTCATGCTTTTGTTTTTTGTTATTTTTTAAAATTTTTTGGCTTTAGGGGATAGATAATCCTTTTAAGTTACTTAGAACTATCCTCTTCAGTTTCGGCAAAATGAGCACACAGATACATGTACCGTTGTCTTGTTGTAATGACTATTCAGAAATGATAGGAGTAGCGCATGATTTACCTGTTATATTTTGTTTTAGTTTTGGTTTCAATTTCGAACATGTGATAAATGTATCTCAAATAATCATCATAGGCTCTTCCAGTGAATTGATACAATTAGTATATAAATTGTATGGCATAAAATATCTCAGTTTTGCCTCCCTATATTATAGCATGATGAACCTGGGTATTAAAGATTCACGAAGGATGATCTCGAAATCTTACTAGAAAAAGAATGACATTTTGCAATGAAATTAGTTTGCATCGGTAACTTTACATTTGCACAACTGGCAGTGATAAATATAAGTTGGGAGTGTGATAAAATTTATTCATAGTCTTCAGGTTGAGCCCAAGGATACTTCAAAAATCCGCCCTTAATTTGTGAAGGATTTTGTGGTGTAGACCAAGGGTACTTCATGTCTGGATCTCGTGGGAATTTCCTGAAGTTGAGAAATGGCGCCCATAGCAATACACTGGACAACAACAAATACATACTATTGTTATTATCAAAATGATTGATTTTCATGTAACGTTTCATTAAAGACATATAACACATGTTAGAGTTGAAAAATTTAATAGACGAATATAGTTATTCGTAAATGAGGAGATGAACAAATTGAGGGATCCCCCTCGTGTAGATGGGGGAGGACGAACTTCCATATTTCCCTGTTAATGCACTACTTCCTTTTCTTTGTTTAAGGCTCTTTTTCATCGTAGTCATGTGCTCGTGTGTTCTTGTTATCAAGGATATGCTCGTGTGTTCTTGTTATCAAGGATGGTGGTCACCTGGTTGACGTTAGTAGGGACAAAATGAAAGTAAAGAAGAAAGTGGAAGGTTGTTTTCTAGTTTCAGAATAGGATAAAGAAGGAAAGTAAAATCTACTAAAACACAACCTAAACGAGTTTATAGCATATTAAGTTCAGCTAACATGTCAGCAGTCAAGTTTAAGCATCAACGAGCCTAAGAAATTTCCCTTGCCTCACCCTCTATTTGTGGCATGGCTGCAGCCAACCTGATAATACTTTCTCCTGAAGAAATTAGAATTTCCTTCTTTGTTCTAAAAAAACTCCAAAAAATAAATAGGAGGACAATATCATTTTAGTTATGCGCAAACGAGACAAAATTGGATCCCCACGATGAATTCACAATCCACTGCGTTTGGTTACATTTGCTCTTAAAATTACTCACGACTCTTTTCTCCAGAATGTACATTTAGGAGAGAATTGTGATACTTCTCTTTTCGAAGAATTCCCCTCTGACTAGTAGGTGCTATAACTAACATTCCTGTTATGGACTTCAGTAAGAAGGAAATTCAAAGATTTCATTTTGTTCAATGCAGCATCAACAGTGACGACAAACTAAGTTTATTTTTCGTTTGAAATCAGGCATAATTCATAAGCATAACATTTATGAAAATTGATGCAGGAAAGTAAAAAAGCCGGTTACTTACCCCGGAAAGAACATAAAAACAAACATGAATTGCAAATACATCTCCAACAAGTTCCTCTTGTACCATCTGGTCCTAAGCCAGTTCATAATTATGGGCTGCAAGTTGTTGTTCAGTTAATGCAATTACAATCAAGAACTCGTATCGATCATGTTTGGTATACAATATTAGACGACTTTCACTCACTGGAGCCACAATGAAGTACAGGAAAGCTGAAATTCCCAACTGAATCAAAACCCATAAAAGATCTTCCTCTTCATTCACTCCTGTTACAGCAAGAGCAGGATCTGCAACCTGTATCCAAACAATTTCTAGAAAGTTTAGCACAATAACATGGAAAATTAAACAAACAAATATCAGTTTCTCACAGTTGCTAAAATTGTTCCAATTTGAATAGCCAAACCCGACTGCTTAATGCAGAAATTTCTTATGTTCTTCGAGCAGATTCTTGAGTTTGCCTGTCATTAAAAAAAAAAAAAAAATTAAAATTCATGATAGTTTAGTTTTGGGAATATATTTGAATACAAATGTCTGAAAAAAGATTATAAAACCTGCTTGGAATTGAAATTCTGGATTTGATTTTGCTTACAAGAAATGAAGAGAGAAGGATTTGTTGAATGGTGGGAAGGAAAGAGAGAAGGCAAAGCCTTGGGGATGAATGAGGAACTCATATCTGATTCTCAGCCAATTGTGCCGTTACGCTTATCTCTTTGATTTTCAGGTCGAAATTTCTCTTTCTTTTCCTTTTTTTCAAGAAATTGTGAAAATGCAATAGTTTAATAATAACAATAATGAATATAATAAAAATTGTCAGCCAAGTTCAATTTAAATAAAACCATATATTTAATTATAACAAAATAAATAAGAGTGGCGATTCCAATTTAAGTTGGTTTTGACTTTGGGAATGTTGATGCCAAGTAGTGTTGTGTTACTTTTTGATCAACTTATTTTCTGCCAAAAGAAAGAAAATGGTGAATCTAGTCAATCATTGAAAGAATGAGGTGCAGTGATCCAACATTCTTCAATTCTAAAATTGGCGAGGTCAAAGTAGCAAGAATTGCATATTTCGATAATGGAAATGAACCTTTAATATAGAATTTTGAAGAGTCAATATCGTTTTAGCCACTTCAATCTATGACGTTACATAAGAACTTGACATATTCAAGTAATTTTCCTTACTCCTTCTCAATCATTGAGGACGATTTATCCGTTTAATCATGACTTAGACTAGATCCTGTATGTTGCATGTACTCATTCAATTATGTTTAAATTCCATAATAATAAGTATCATATACTCAGACGTAACGATATGTTGATTTATTAATAACCTTCGAACTGAAGGAATTTTAGGTTAGCTATCTAGGTTTGGTCTCTTAACTTGTGTTCAAGAATCAAGATCCTAGAGATTTGAGATTTTAGCTTGCGTATGCTTATCTCAAGGTCTATTCTGACAATTAAATTGAATTTTGATTAAAGTTCTATAATTATTTTTTCATAATATCATGCCCACCCAAGGCTTATCCCAAATAAATATGAGATATTTTCCAGTAGGGGGAGCAGTCACGAGATATCATGGTTAGCCTCAACTACCTCTCCATTACCAGACCTTACATTATAGCTTCCTCTTTACCAAACGACACACCCCCTTCACTTCCTCATTCCAATTCTCTTCCAAGAACAAATAATTCAACCCCACCACAATTTCATCAACAAGAAAAGCTAAAGCGAAAGCAAAGGCAGCTTTCTGTTGCAGAAATTGAAAGGGCTATCGGTGCTGGCATTTTTCGAGAAAATGACACTAACAGGTAAAACAAGGACCCAAATTTTCTATCCATTATATTTTTGATGTTTTGTGGTTTTTTTTTTAAATTGGAACTGTGTATTGTTTTGAATGTTTAGGGAGTCGGAAGTGAATAAGCATTTGTTTGATAGTATATTGGCGAATTCTGTTGGGAAGGATGAAGGGTCTGCGGAGAAGAAACTGCGGGAGACTGGAGAATGGATCATTGATCAAACCGAAAGAACTTCACGCTCTTCTGGTAATTGTGTATTTTTCTACTTTTAGATGAAGTCTATGAAATGTAGTATTTGTTGGAAAATATTAAGTGCATAAATTATATTCAAATAACTAACTTTTTACTTGCATAAGATCTGAAAGAATTTCGACCTATTGAAACTGAATATGAAATGTAGAAACATGAAATGCATGAATATGAATTTGGTCAACTCAAAGTTTGACTTTTCTCCTTAAGACGATAATGTGCCACATGGATGCTAACAAGTTTTCGGCATTTGTCTTCCAAGATACAATGATCATGTTTCGCAATAAGAGCATTCCAAATTACATAAACGAGGGAAATTACTATATTTTGTTCTCTTTTCATATGAAAGTTGATTCAAAATAGATACAGAAAATATTTTGAAGTGAGTATGCATCAATATGATAATGCAGAATAAAGTGAATGAATAGGAATTCCAAACATTGGGATCAATATATAATGAGATTCTATAGGTTGTGTCTCAAAGACACAACTTAATGTAAAGGTATGTCTAAAATTCTTGTTGGAATGCAACTATTGGAAAATGTTATGAACAAAAAGATATAATTTTTCAGCCAAATAGGTTCTAAAATATTCCATAATATTCCGCATTGTTTTTCAACAATTTCTATGTATTTAGTAGAACACTTTCAGCCATCAAATCCCCATCATCGACTAACTGTTTTCACTGAAATATTGAGTCAAAAAACTGGTCAAGATCATTTCCAATTTCCAACAGTATTTTGCACCTTATATGAATTCGTATTAAAAAAACTATAGCCTCGTAATTTATTAGTATGATTAATTTCAAATAGGTTATATTCCATTGCCATGTGGTGGAGTTTATTTTATTTTATTTAGTTATATTGAAGGCAACATGATCATTTTCCAATGAGGGAAAGTAAGGTAATATCTTTCTTGTGAATTATGTTTTTAAAATTATTTCCAATAAGTTCAATGACTTCTTTTTTGCTGTAGATAAATTTGTGTGCAGAAAAGTTGTTTTTTTTTAATCTAAAGGAGGAAGTGTTTATAAACAATTTAGTTTATAATTAGATAGAAATGAGTGGTAGATAAGTGAGCAATACTTGTGGGTCCCATGAAATGTGTGTATGAAAAGTGATTTGACCGTCTATAAACATTAGCCAAACATAGGCTTAGAGGATAAGAATTATGAGGACTTTATTTGTTTGGTGATAGAGTACATTGTTTATTTGTGGTCACTAAATTATTGATCTTAGTTAATTCATTATTTAACCTCGTTGCAGATATTAAATGAAATACATAATTTTTTGAATCTGGGTTCATTCGAGAAGTAAATCTTGTGATACCCGGTTGGCCTAGTCTCTAAACTGGTTAAGAATTCAGTTGTGCGCCTTATGTAGAATGCCTTATTTGAAGTAAAATCAGAATTGTGATAAATAAGCTTAGCTTGGGAAGACAGTCATTTGACTTTTACAAAAATAAATAAAGTGATCCCTTTCCCTCAAGGATGGTGGATCAAAGTTGTAGGAGTCAAAACATCAAATTGGTTCATCAGGCTAGTTGTATTAGAAGGATGTTTTTGGGGTTCCAGAAAGTCCCACTTCCCAGTGCTTGCATATCACATGAAAAAGGAATTTTTTTGACTACGGAGGACAAGTTTGGGAGTATAAATTGGAAATGTTCTACTTGGATTTAGATTAGTTCTTACAGATCACATTTCGAAGCATGCTGATAGTGTTAAATTCTTTGTAGAGTCTGAATTAGAGTTTTATGCATACCTTTTATTGGAAACCTACAAAGTCACAGTATGCTGCACTGAGGTATGAAATTTAAGCTCAACGGGCTGTGAAATTTGTGTGATCAATTGTTATCTTGCTTCTACTTTCTGATGCTCGCATTTAAGCTCAATAGGGTACAGAAATTTGTGTAAATTGTTGGTCAATATTAACTATTAGTAAAGAGAAAACCGCTGGAAAATATTCTTTCTCCTCATGCAAGAGGGTAAAGATTATAAAATCCTCATTAGTCCAATAGCACAGTATGTAGTAGGTTACTACTGAATTATTGACCTCCATCAGATAATTGTTTAATCTGTTTCACAACTTACATCTGATTTCTGAAGTACATATTTATTGACTTACTAAAATTTGGTTACGAACAACACTGTCTTGCATCTGTTGCCTTAGCGTTAAACAAAATGATATTTCAGTAATGCTCCACAAATTGTCTCTGAATCAATATTTTATTTTTTAAGGGAAGGCTGTGAAAGCTTTCTTTAAGATCCCTCACCACCTTGCAGTGTTTTCAGTACTCTATTGTCAAGAGATCAGAATGTTATTGATTTTTCTAGTTATTACCCATTTTTGTTAAGTGCAAGGTAATGCACAAGTAAAACAAGGAGTGGAGACAACACAAGCAGAAACTGGACTGGAAAATTTTGTTTAATCTTTTTCCATGGAAAATTTCCTTTTTCTGATAGCGTTCCTTGAAAATTGTTTTTTTTTTGGCACAACTTTTCATGTTATTGAACTGATAAAATAATTCTCTCAAATTCAATATGTTAATTCCGCTGGAATTTGGTTTAAAATTGGAAAATTTAGTCAAGTATAAACCTTGGAAATGTGACTTTGAGCCAATTTCGGCCTAATAATCGGACTTGATCTGATAGTCAAACTATAAATATAAATAGACTAACTTGTTCTACCCGTTGAGTAAATTGTCGTGGTATATTTGGAATTTCAAAACCAATTCTGGATGAATGAAAAATTGCGGCCCAAAGTTGGAAAGAAAAGAGGAAAAAACTGGCCAGAAACTTTGCCTAACTCCATCGCTCGTCTAGCGCTCGAGCGATGAGATTGTTGCTCGAGCAATGGGCGGGCAACAGAGTTTCTGATTAATAGGTGTCACTGCCTCTCGAGCGAGAGACAAGGACAGGCTAGTGACAGCAAGGGATGCTTCCCTTTGTGAATGTTGCTGAATTTGGAGTGTGACACTTCTCTTACAATCCCTCATCTTCTATAAATAGGATCCTTTGGACGTCTATTATGCATTCCATATCATATGTATTGAGCATTATATAAAAAACTTGCAAAAACTCTAAAAAAATCTTCTTGTAGAGGGAAGAATTTCATTTCGTTCGAGTTCGCCGTTGCTTGTGGTTTGAAGTGCTTCTACCATAAGTTGTATCCATTGTATCTTAGAAGACAATTACTGTAATTCATTAGCACCGTTGCGAGGCAATTTTATCTTAAGAAAAAATGTTAAATCACTTCCTCGGATTTTATTTTTCTCCTATTTCTTCACTTTTTTTTTTTTTGCTTCAATTTATAGAGTTTAATTACGCTCTTGTGAATTAAACTTAAAATATTATTTTGTCTTTTAATTAACAGCTATTTCACTATATCATATTGCCAACAATTTTAAGACAAAATTGTGTTTTCGTGGTGGTTGTTTAACAAATCACCTCCCTTCATTTTTAGAATTTGTCTTCGGGTGACATTCCTTTGTTTCATTTTACATTGAACTTCTATTTTGAATAGAAATGAATACTGTTGAGACTACTTTAAGTTAAACAATGAATGATATGAATCATGTGGATCCTTCTTTGACCATATCCATATCAAATTCTCATATCCCACATTGAGAAAAATCGAAAAAGTTTGGAGGTGTGGATTTTAAAGATGGCAACAAAGGATGTTGTATCTTACTACTTTAAATTTGACAAAGTTTTTAAAAGAGATAGCTCCTGTTGTAGACAAAGGAGAAAATAAATTGTGAGTCGATTATTGCGTTGGACGCATGGAAACACTTGGATTTCTTTTGCAAAAATTACATTTTAAATGGATTTGACAATACATTTTATGGAGTATATAGTTGAATGGACTCGGCTGAGGATCCATGGGATTTATTGGAGAAGAAATACAAGACTGAGGACGCCGCAACAAAGTTTATTGTTTCGGCAAATTTTTAGACTATAAAATGGTAGACTCCAAAATTAAGTGCAAGAATTTCAAGTTTTACTTCATATCATACATGCAGAAAAGATGAATCCTTCCAAGTTGCAGCCATCATTGAGAAATTCTTGGAGAGACTTAAAAAACTATCTTAAGCACAAACACAAGGAGGCGAATTTGGAGGAATTGATATTCCTTTTAAGGATTAAGGAAGACAATAGAAATACTGAAAGAAAATCAATTGTTCAACTTAGAGCAAATTTTGTTGAAACTGATTCGAAGGTCATTAACAAGAAGCGTAAGATCTCCAATGTTGCATCAAGAAGAGACAACTCCAAGAATGTTAAGAAGTTTAAAGGAAACTGTTACAATTGTGGAAAAGCCGGATATCATTCAAACGAATGTCGAAAGTCGAAGAAGTTTGCACGAGCAAATGTAGTTGAAAAAGACCCCCTTTCTGAAGGAGTTCAAGAGATGAGTCTATTTACGATTGTTTCCAAATGCAACATGGTTGGTAATTTAAGGGATTGGTGGGTGGATACTGGTGCTACCCTACTATATTTGTACAGATAAGACTATGTTCTCAAACTATCATGAATTGAAAGGAGAGAAATTGTTCATGGAAGAACTCTGCAAGTTCAAAGGTTGAAGGACTTGAAAAGATCACATTAAAAATAACTTCCGGGAAAGAACTAGTCCTTAATAATGTACTTCATGAACTAGACATTCGCATGAACCTGGTTTCGGGGTCTCTACTTAGCAACAATGACTTTAATCTTGTAGTTGTATTAGACAGTTCGTACTTACGAAAAATGATATGTATGTTGGTAAGGGTTATCTTAGTAAAGGAATGTTCAAAATGAATGTCTTTACAATTGTACCAAAAAAATTATGAATAAAAATTATAATTCTGTTTGTATGCTTGACTTGTCTTGTTTATGACATAGTCGATTAGGGCATGTTAATTACAAATTAATGCATAAACTTATGAATCAAAATTTAATTTTGACGCTTACGATTGATTCTAATCATAAATGTGAAGTATGCATTGAAGTAAAATTGGTTAAAACACATTTCCACTCTGTTCAAAGGAACATGACACCTTTAGAATTAATATATAGCGATATATGTGATTTGAAATTCATTCAAACTAAAGGTGGTAAGAAATACTTTATAACTTTCATTGATAATTGTACAAAATATTATTATATCTTTCTAATATGATGTACAGATGAAGCCTTAGATATATTTATACATTATAAGATGGAAGTTGAGAATCAACTTGATAAATGAAGAAAAAATATTCGTAGTGATGGAGATGATGAATATGAGGAACCGTTTGGAGAATATTATTCCGAGTATGGAATCATTAATCAAATAACGAGATCTTGCTCGCCCCAATTGAATGGTGTTGCTGAACGCAAAAACTGAACTTTTTAAGAGATGATGAACACAATGTTGATAAATTCAGGTCTATCCCATAACTTGTGGGGGAAGCTATTCTTTTGGTAAATAACATTTTTAACAAGATACCCTTTAAGAAAATGGAAGAAACTTCATATGAACTATGGAAAGGTCATCCTACTTCCTGCCAACACTTGAAAGTGTGAGAGCATTTGGTTAAGGTTGAAGTACGTAAGCTTAAACAAGTAAAAATTGGTTCTAAGATGATTGATTGCATATTTATTGGATATGGCAATAATAGTACTGTATATCGTTTCCTTGTATATAAACCTAAAATTAAAGATGTACATGAATGAACTATAATTGAATCGAGAAATGCATCATTTTTTGAGAATTTTTTTCCATGTAAAGACAAGGAAAATGCAAGTTCAAATAAAAGAACTTATGATACTGCAGATGACACTTCAAATGAGGAAGAACGAAGGCATAGCAAAAGAGCTAAAACATCTAATTCGTTTGGCCCAGATTTTCTATCCTATATGGTGGAAAATGTTTTAAAGACTTTCGATGAATCAATGTCTACATTGGAAGCACCGTATTGTAAAGAAGCTATCAATAGTGAGATAGATTCTATAATGCAAACTTGGGAATTGGTTGATTTACCTCCCAAAAGTAAGCCTTTAGGGTGTAAATGGATTTTCAAAACGAAACTAAAATCGGATGGATCCATTGATAAATATAAGGGATATAGATAAAATGAAGGATTTAACTTCCTTGATACTTATTCACTCGTGAGTAGAATCACTTTGATAAGATTGTTAATCATGATTATGACACTACATAACCTTGAGATTCATCAAATGGATCACTACAACAAAAATGGGCTTTGACAACACTTAAAAGGCAACATTCATTGATTAAATGGTGCTAAAAGGGCCAATTGCAACATTCGTGTAAGTGAATGTTGCGAAAAATGACATTTCGCAACGTTTTTCAAGTCAATGTTGCAAAAAGTAACATTTCGTCACCTTTCGCAACGTTTTTTGAAACGTTGCGAAAGGGCACCTTTCGCAACGTTTCTAGGAAGGTTGCAAAAGGTCAACGTTTCATTTTTTTCCCATACGTTATCAAGTGTCAAAACTTTGTTATAAAATTAGAAGCCCTAATTTCTCTCCTCTCGTCTCCGCCAGTCCGCCTCCCTCCCTCACACACACACACAGNTGCAAAAAGGTGACCTTTTGGGAACGTTCAAACTTCAATTAACATTGCCAAAAGTCCCACACCTCCTCAAAATCAAACTATTTAACATTAGCCCTAATTTTCCCCTTGTCTTCTCTTCTTGTGTCTCCGCCTCCTCTTCTATCTTTGTTTCCCCTCGCTAACATACAAATCCATTGCTTTCCTTTATCTCTGCTCGACGCCGCGACTGCTCTGTCTCCAACTCCGATTGGACCAGCGACCAGGTGACAGCCTCATTTCTTTAGGCGACTTATTCTCTTTGGAAGAAGAAAATGATGGAGACGAAGATGATGACTCCGAGACTGAAAAAGACCATAACCACTTTGAAACCTGTAAATCGAAGAGCCCAAGGAGGGAGCTGAGGCTGGGTATTGATACTGGTGGGTTTCACGAATCTCTTCTTTTTAGCTAATTTTGTGTCTGTTTGATAATTTTGGGGTTTTCTGGAATGCGAAACTTGAAGGACCAAGTGCAGTATTTTTTCACCAGTTAAATTTTCTCGATGATTTCTGTTGTATTTTCATTTCTGTTATGCTGCTTTTGAAGGAGATTCTCTTGTTTGGCATTTTTATCCGAATTTTTAAGAGGAAATTATTAGACGTTGGGTGATGAATTGAAAATCGATCAATGAAAATTGAAAGCTCTTGTTCTATTGACGGTTCCTCTGTACATGGTTGAATGGATAGACCTGAATGATAAATAGATCATATTATTAAATAACCAATCTAAATTTATATTTTATTCAACAGTTAGAAACCGGATAATGGGGGCAGAACGTTTAGTGCTTGTTTGGTAGAGATTTTTGGGGGAAGAATTGATTTTTGAATAGTAATACGATGGGAAATGTGTGGTTGAAAAAGAAAAAAAAATTATTGATATGATGAAAAATATCATTTTATTGAAGAATGTGTGGTTGAAAATGAGAATTGATTTACCGTAGAATTTGAGAATAAAAAACAAACAAGCCCTAGTCTATTGTCTTTGTATATCATTATAGGAACTGAGAAACTATTATAGTAATTGTTGAGGAATTTTCATTAATTTATAGCATTCTAGTTGTCAAATATTTGTGTCTTGTCCCTACCATCATAAACTTGGTACAATCGTAACTTCGATTAATTATCCCCAAAGGACCCTAGCTTGTCCCGAATTTACAGAGCATGGCATAAATTGAGAGGGGTGCCTTTTAAAATTGCAGTTGCTTTCAGTTTTTGACAAGGCATTTTAATTTTGTATATTTTGTAAATGGAACTTTGCATATGATAGACTAAATTCTTGTAATCTTTGTGATATTTATGATTGATTCAAGCAGCTTCTTTGTAGTGTTTATTATCCTTCTAATTACTAATACTTAGAAGCTAAAAAACATTGTTCTCGTATCTATCCAGACACTTCACCCAAATCTGTGCTGCTATACAAGGGATCCGCCACAAATTTTGATTCTTGGTTCACTTCACCTGACTGTTTTTCCCGGTGACTTCTTTTCTCGCATGTCTTGATTACTTGGTGTTTACCATTTTAGGTTAATCAGTTTTGCAATAAATTGAGGCTGGCGTTGTTGTTATCTCCACATCTTCGATAATCATCCGAATACATATTTTGATGTTTATTTTGCCACTATTTCTCCATGCTACTTTACTGTTTTGTTTAATTGATGGAAGTTGAATCAGTGCGCACAATTATGTATTAATTATAGTTAGTGATGACCTTCTGTAAACATTTTCCTTCCATTGTAGTTTCCCTGTGTGTGGCTGTAAGAGCCCTTTTCCCCTTTGCCTCTTATTTATTTTATTTCTTGGAGCTATATTGTTAATTATGTTTATATTTATGATTCTTACTTGCCTTTAAATTAAATTAGATTTTTCTCATTGTGTGCCTTTTATTTATGTAATTAGTGAAATGGCTCCATTAACTTTGGTATAGATTTGCGGGCTCTATTAATTTGATGAGAAGCAAGAAGAGCAAGTAGAGGAAAAGAAAGAAGAGAAAGCAGAGGAGAAGAAAGAAAAAAAGGCTGAGGAAAATAAAGAGAATTGAATTTTACTTCATTTGAAAGTAGAGACGAATCTTGTTTTACTTCATTACTGATAAGAGTTGGTATATGCTGGAACATGATTTGTATATTTTTTATCTAAATTTTATATGAATATTGTTACATTTTGGAGTTCAGTTAATGATGATTATTGAAATTATTTGATATTGTTATCTTCTATCTTGTTTTGTGGTTGATTTAATTGTAAAAATAAAAGAATTAAAATTTTTAACAAAAATGGAAAATGACCTACGGCAACGGTTAAAAAACGTTGCGAAAACCCTTTCGCAGGGTTCGTGCATCCGTTGTGATGTTCGGTGTTACCATTGAGGTGTCAACTTTTGGCAACATGCCTCACACGTTGCAAAAGAGACTTTTGGCAACGTTTACCGTGCGTTGCCAAAACCTTTTTGGCAATGCGCAGTGAACGTTGCCAAAAGTCTCTTTTGCAATGCGCAATGTACGTTGCCAAAAGTCGACACCTCTATAGCAACACCGAACATCGCAACGGACACTCGAACGCTGCGAAAGGGTTTTGAAAAATCGTTGCCGTAGGTCTTTTTTGTTGTAGTGGATGTAAAGATGGCATTCCTAAATGGTGAGTTAGAAGATGAGATATACATGGAACATCCCGAAAGGTTCTTCTCTCCTAATCACAAACAAAAAGCTTGTAAATTAGTTAAGTCCTTGTAGGATTGAAACGAGTTCCCAAACAATGGCACCAAAAGTTTGACAAATCAATGTTGTCTAATTGATGTAAGATAAACGAGTGACAAATGTGTATACATAAAACATACACCGAAAGCCTATGTTATTATAAGTCTATATGTAGATGACATGTTAATAATGGACAATAGTCATGAAATAATGCTAAATTCCAAGAGAATGTTAACGAAATATTTTGATATGAAAGATTTGGGGTGTAGTTGATGTGATATTAGGGATTAAGATCTCCAGAACATAGAAAGAAATTATACTTTCCCATTCTCGCTACATTGAGAGTATATTTAAAAGGTATAATGCATTTGAAGAAAGTCCTGCAAAAACCCCTATTAACAAAAGTTTACACTTAATAAAAAATACGGGTGAATTTGTGTGACAACTAAATTATTCACAAGTTATAGACAATCTAATGTGTATTATAAACTGCACTCGACCGGACTAGCATTTGTTGTAAATAAACTTAGCAAATTCACAAGTAATCTAAGTCATGATCATTGAAAGGCTTTAACAAGGGTTCTTAGGTACTTGAAGTATGCCTTAACCTATAGATCACACTTCACAAAATATCCTACGGTATTGGAAAGATATTGTGATGGAAATTGGATATTCGATGTGAAAGATTCTAAGTCTACTAGTGATTATGTATTTACCATTGGTAGAGCTGTTGTATCATGAAAATCGACAAAACAATCATGTATAGCTTGATCAGCGATGGAATCAAAGTTTATTGCTTTAGAAAAGTTGGAAAAGAAGCAAAATGACATCGTAACTTCTTGGAAGATATTCCATATTGGCCTAAGTCGGTACCTGTAATATGTATACACTGTGATAGTTGATCGGCTATATGAAGAGCTCAAAGCAGTATATATAATGATACGTCTAGACATATACGTCGTAGACATAATACCATTAAGCAGTGTTCTAAAAGATGCGCCTTGGCGTGCCCAAAATGCCAAGCTAATGCCTGACTTGGTGTGATAATGAGCGCCAAAGCACGCATTATTTTTAATTTTTTCCCACAATTTTGATGTGTGTTATAAATTTGAAAGATTGAGGATCTAAATATCAACAAACAGGAGTTGAGGAGAACAAGTGCCAATCTTGATTTTTGAACTTAAATTAAAGGCTAAAGCTGCAAAACCCTCTTTCCCAATTCAAAGACTCGACTAAAACCCAAAATTGACTGTAAATTAAATCCATAGCATGAAAATCAATTGACAGCGGAGGGCAGCAAAGTTCAAATACGGCAAAGCCTTTGAAGTTCTCGCAGCCCTAACCTCTAACAGCCTCTGCCTTTCTGCCTCAAATTTTCTCTTCAGCTTCTCCCTGTTTTCCGCCTCCGCCATTGCTCTCCTCGTTTCTATCTCTAGGTACCTTCGGCAGCTTTGTCCATTTTAGCTTGATTACTTGCTTTCATAGAAAGAAGTTGTTCATTTCGTTTAGTTTATTGTTAATTTTGTTGGCTTAAAGTAGATTTGGACGAATTAGATGAAGAAGAGGATATTGAATTGGAGTCCGATAAAGAGTTAGATAACATATAAGTTCCCATGCTATTTATTTACTATTTTGTATTTATATTTGAAACTTATCTTTTTGTTGGAAACTTTGAAAAAATGTATAAAGTTCCTATAAATATGTTTTAAATGTTTAGTAGGTATTATTTTTAATTATTAAATGATTTTTTGATTAATTAAAAATTAAAATAATATTAAAATAAAAAATGCATTTTTACGCTTTCTTATGCCTAATCCTCGCCTAGCCCATAGCTTGGCTTCCACGCATCGCCATGCATTACGCCTTTTAGAACACTGCCATTAAGTAAGTGATCTCCAATGGTATCATCTCCATAAGATTATGTGAAGTCAAAGGAGAACATCGTTGATCCACTTACGAAAGGTTTATCGAGAGATTAAGTACGTTGCCTATCGAAAGGAATGAGACTAAAGCCTACTATGTAAGAATTTTTGTAATGGAAACCCTACCTTGTTGACTGGAGATCCCAAAATTTTGATTCAAGAGGACAACTAAGTTATGAAGATTCAATGAACCACTTCGGAAAACATTTCCTAAATCATTCCTATGATAATTAAAGTGGTTTCTACATAATGTTAAAAGTTAAGATTTGCTTTTAATGATTTCTATATCTTGATTAACTCAAGTAGAGTAGGACATGATACTGTTAATAGGAGTTCACCTATATAAGTGTGAAGTGGTGCCGCTTCAACGAAAATTGTTTCAAGGCTGAAATTTTCTAAACCACTTATGAAACTCAAGAGTGGTTCAGGGTAAAATAAACTAAATCATGAGAACCATGAATAATTTAGGAAAGACACCTATGTGAGTGTTATTTTCGTGATTTACACCAACCGTTGAATCGTTCAAAACATCACGTTCACCACTTAGCCAAATAAATCTGATAGTATTTCATTATGAAAGGTTCAAAGTCAGAAGCTACTTTACCTAATGCAATATTTTTTTGCTCTCTCTACGATGCATCATATTTTGCACATCATGAATATATTTGGATTTCCATTCATGTGGGGGATTGTTGGAATTTGGTTTCAAGATTGAAAATTTGGTTAAGTATAAAACTTGAAAAGTGACTTCGTGTTAACTTCGGCCAAATATTTGGACTTGATCAAATAGTCAAATTATAA